AGGTCGAGTATGACCCATCCACCACCACCCTCTGAGTGCGACCCTTCAGCCAATCTGCAATCCATCTGACTGTGTAGGCATCTATGCCACAGTCGCCTAGTTTTTTAACTAGGATGGGGTGAGAGACGGTGTCAAAGGCCTTGCTGAAGTCCAGAAAGACTACATCCACCACGACACCTGCATCCTTAATGATCCTGGGCTCCCCCTGCTTATTAAAACACCACCAGGGATGTGGGGTGGGTGTTATAAGGTGCCTCAACCTGCCTTTCACTGGGGAGATAACTGGCCTTGCATTTCCTGGGGGCTCCCACACCACCAGGAGCCTCATCAGACCAACCTTCCATGGCAGACTGCAGTTTTACATCTTACCCAGGGCAAGGGGTCACCTCAACCCCATAGCCCCTCCCCTTACCTCCTGACTCTGGCTGGAGCAGCTTCTCAGCCTGATATTACCTCCTTCCTCCTGCAGCAAACTGCAGCCCAGCTTATATCCCTGGGTCCAAAATGACTGCCCTCATCAAGCACCTGGCTGCTGCCAAAGGTGCCCTGCCACATGTTCCCTGTATAAATTTAGGTTCTTTATAACCTCAGATATTATGGTAATGTTGTTTCTATAGCATCATCTTTTGTTAGGCTTATAAACTGAATTGAGAGTAGGCTCTTAGAAAGCTGTCTAGACCAAGATGGATTTTTTCCCCAATCATTGTTCCATGGTCTCTTATTTTTGTTCAATCAAGTTTGTTGGTTGTATGCCAATTGTTTGCTTGCCATTCACAGCTGAGTGATTTGGAAATGGATGGAGTATGGTACATAGCCTAAATGCCATTGATGTTTTACAATGTAATGCTGAGCTACACTTCACCCTTATTACAGAAGAATAGCCCACAAAGTCCACATCCAGATGAGACCAGCTGCATGGTATGTGGTGACACAGATGCATCTGTAGTGCCACATAATGCACATTGACCCCAGGATATCTTGGGTTTGGCCCCAGGAGATCCTGGGGTCAAAAAACCCATGCAAAAAGAAGCAGGGTGGTATACACAGGGACAGCGCACACTGAAGCCACACTCCAACTGCTAGCTAGGCTCCAAATGGTAGGATTGCTGCTGCTGCAGCTCCAAGAGGCCCCCAGAACCCCAGATAAGGCTGCTGGAGCCCTCCCTACCCCACCTGGAGTAACTTGCCATGAGCCAGAGGGTGTCTGGCACAGATGTTCCAGTGGACAAGTAGCAGTGACATATGGTGTCCCAGTGCTAGTCGTTCCCAGGGAAATCCACATCCATGCTTGTGTGGACATAGCCAAAAAGTCAAAAGGTACCAACATCCAGTACCAACATCCATTTTAGCCTGAACAGCTAGATAAAATAGATTACAAATGCAGGCAGTTGCAAACCTGTTTGCTTTTATGCAAATTAGATGTTGCTATCAGCTTCTGACTTTTATTTGCTATCACAACCCCTTGTCAGCTGGACAGTGATTGGACATTTCAGAAGTAAATAGAATCAGTGATCCTATATGCAAGCTAATTGTGCAGACACTCCTACTAAATATCATCTGGGAGGAAGCATTGCATGTTGCACTGCTTAGAATTATGCTCAACTTCCCTTTCCACTAAAACTCATTTCTAGTGCTGGAAAGGAAAGTTGTGCATATGTGTTGTAATATGAATGAAAGGAAGATTAAAACTGGAATTACAGTCTAAGAAAAGCCTGCTAGTGAGCCATCTATCCCTTTTTATTCCACATGCAGCCAAGAGTTAACAAGAGCTTGCCAAAAGAGATGCACACATAATTTATCCACATACTTCCACCCAGGGAAGGGAGAAAATATCAGATCTTTGGCATAAAAGCACAAGGGCTTGTTAATATTTTTAGAGCTTTTAAACAGCAAGAAAAAAGAAATGGTATCATAGAGAGACTAAATGGAAGATAAAGACAGCTAATCACTCAGCAAACTTCCACTCTACTTGGTGTGGGGGGCATTTGTCTCATCTGCTATTGATCAGTTAATTGGCATGGAAAGGACTAGCTAGGGGTAGAATGTCAATTCTATCATTATTATGTGGGTTAAAAACAGGTTTCTGAATAAAAAGAAAGGCTTGGTTGAATCATTATGAATACATTTATTAACCTTAATAATACTAGAAAAAGATTTGAGGTGGGAGGGAAACTGGACAAAGGACAATCAATTCAACTGCCCATTGAATAACACTTTTTTCAGTTTCTAAAATAAAATGCAATGAGAGTGTTTAAAAGAATGTATGTCTGTTTTTGTGTTATAATCATATGCCTTATTTAGTAGCACAGTATGCACAGCATTTCCCCCAAAATTAGCCTTCTCTGCATGCTACTTCTATTTGGGCAACACCAGGGGGCTGTCAACTGACTCCATGGCTTCTTATTATCTACTTGATTCCTGTTAATTTGTTTTTCACTCGGAAGGTGTTAACAACCTTCTCTTCTTTTTAATGGTCTTGATGTTCAAATAATCAAGCTATCCCTTCTTCAGCAATGTGTTTTCTCTTAGATATTCCTGGTCTCTCCCATTTCTCTTCTCTTATTTCACAGCAGACTGTTTTTGGCTTCTTTTTTTTCAAAACCCTAGATTTGCCTGTGGAGCCCAGCCAGAATTTATCTGTGAAAGGGTTTAAACCATAGCTGTTGCCTGACCTGGAAAGGGAGGGTGAGTGAACTGGAGATTAGGGTCTGTTCCTGCTGGACGTGGCCATAACTGGAAACATTTTTTTTTCTTTATTATGCTTTAATTATGCTTTCCAAAAAACAAGGTTCATCTTTTCCACCTCCCTTTCTTTATCTCCTTGGAGGTAGTGACTCAAAAAGTATGGTAATATATTTAATTTGTATTACGCAGTGATTTTAAAATTGCTAGGCTGCTTTCTCTAATTTATAGTGGTTGCCTTCTGCCATTTAGGCTACAAGTACTGGCTATATTCTGTCCCCAAGTGTCCAATAAATAATCCCCCCTAGGTCTCAGAGTTTCATAGTTCAGTAAACTCTTGCCTTTATGAAACTAGTGAGATGGTTCTTGCATCACCATCCTGTGTCTCTGGTCCAGAAAATGAGAGAGGATAAAGGAGCAGAAATTAGGTTTAAGACACTAGAGAACAGGGATTAAGAACAGAGATTAGGTTTAGGGCACCAAAACTCCTCTGAGCTCTATCAGCCTCCATTTGTTGTCATAGGGGTCTTCAGACTATGCCTAAAGGATCTGGGAAAGATGACTATAATCAATCAAAAGTATGTGAATACCCACACTTACAATTCAAAAGGTAAAGTGTGTTAGGCATCTAAAACATCATGTGCCAAATTTTTGCCAGATTTATTCTTGTTATTATGATGATTCATGTGTAAGTGCCATAAACATGCAGGTCTTTGGTGGGGTGTGTGCTTGCAGCGGCACAAATTTCTGCTGATACTTTGTGCCTCAGTGCACACCTGTGCACGTGCGCTTTGTTGCAGGACACACTGTCCTGCTTTGGGCAAACTGCCTTTGCTGAGCTCCTCCTGGCTCTTGGCACACTGGAGCAGCGGGGCACAAATGGAGCAGTCGGAAGCCAAAGCATCTTGCTAGAAGACTAACCCTCCACTCGTTCCAGCACATGCTATCTTCACATGCTCTGCACTGCTTTTTTTCCTGACATGTTTTTGTTAACATGAAATCCCAATAGCAAATTTTGCTCCCACACTGCAAATTTGCAGGGCAGGGCACATTTTAACATCCCACATGTGTGGTTCATGGTACCACAAACTACACATGCCTGCACATCTGGACACAGCCTGTATCTACAGATAATTTATCCATCCACATTCACAAGCAATTTCATCCATCCCTTAAAGATATCAAAAATGCTGTACCCATAAAATACTGGAAATACAAAGTAAATTTACAATCTTATACTTAGCTATTATTAAATAATATTAGAAAATAAATGCCCTCATTCTTAAACGCTGATCACAATTCTCATATTTTATTTTACAGACCCTCCCCTGCAACAATTACCTATAATCCCATTTCAATCCTTTCTTTTAAGTCCTGCCTTAAGTAAAAATTGGCATGATATTAACACTTTTTTAGGATGCTCTTTTGTCTTAGAGTAACAGGAAAAATTATAGACTGATAAAATATTTGTTAATACAATTGTTTCCACCTGTAAGCTAAAGTGTAGGCAATGCTTTAATTTGATGTATATAACTCACAGAAGTTCTGAATGAAACTTCCTGAATGAAACCTCCTTTTTTATGGTAATTTTTGTCAGAATTGTGATGTTCACTAAGAAAAAAATGTGTGGGAAAAAAAATCTCGCTGACATTTTTCTGGACATTTTGTTAATTGTTTTTCTACCAACTCTGTGGATGTTCAAAGACACAGGGCTGGTGAAAAACCTAAGTAGACTAGAACTGATAAGGACATCCTATCACGTGATTATGTGTCTCTCTGCCATCCCACTTTTTTTTTCCAATTATGATTTTTTTAGAAGCCAAGTACATATCTAGTTCACAACCACATTAACGATCACATTAAATTTGGTTCAAATTGTCCCTGGCTGGGAATTCCTCTTCTCTTCAACGTGCTAACACATCCTATTTTAATGGTGAGCAATCTCCTTTTGGTGTCTGATGAGGCAGGCTGCATCATCCTACTGCAGTCTATATGGATCGGGGCAGTGCAGAGATGCACGTGCACACAGTTTGTAATACTGATTCCTCGGATTAAGGGAAGAGGAGCACAGTACATAAAATAGAAATTGCTGAATACTTCTAATATAAACAGTGCTAGTATTTCAACAAATTTGCCTCTACATCCTTCTGGTGTGAGTGTGTTTCTATTTGCAAGGAAGCATTTCCCTTGTTCCCTTGTTCTTTTGAATGGTGCAAGCAGCAGAATCTTCACAGACTATTTTCTATTTTATTTCTCTCCACAGTGATGGCTGGGCAGACAGGTACGATGTGACAGACGGATACCAGCGTGAAGCTGTTGGTGGAATAACAATCAAGCTTCAGTCTCCTGATGTGAAATGGTTTGATGATTATTACTTGCAGCTTCGGCCAGAAACCAACCACCGAAACCCATGGTTTCAGGAATTCTGGCAGCACAGGTTCCAGTGTCAACTGGAGGGGTCTCCTCAACAGAACTTTAAATACAACAAGACTTGCACCAGTAAGCAGTTTTACTATTATTATTTAGTGTTAGTATTATTTTATCTAAAATCAATGCCTGATTCAATTAATTACTGTCATGCTGAAGCAGCGAGGCCTGGAGAAATGGATTGTGGGGACCGGAATTGGAAGGACTGGAGTTCTATCCCTTCTCTGGCCTGGAGATGAATTCAAATTCAGGTGCTAGAGTGTTGGTGTAGGGCTTTGCAACTCATGTTCAATACCTTCTTCTACTTTTGACATGGGAAAGTCACTTAGAGCAAGATTTTCTGTGTGACTACTGAGGTCAAATTTTAAAAGTGGCATAGGGTCAGAATTTTAATAGGATTTTCAAAGATGCCTCCAACACTGAAGTCCCAAGCACTTCTGAATATCTCAAGCAATAAGAATTAACTATGTTAGTTGCAAGTTAAGAAAATAGGGTAGATTTGCACCTGACCAACTAAATTATGTATAGCACAAGGTTTTCTGAGCTGGAGCTCACTTTATCAGATGTGATGAAATGACATGCATGGACCAGTGTGTAAAATGGAGATGGTGATTTGAATACAAAGTTAGAAAGGGAGGGAGAGAGAGGAGAGAATGGAGGAGGGCAGTGCTGGGAGAAGCAAACAAGCAAGTAATAAGTAATTCTCATGAAATGACTGAACCTTTAATTACTTGAACCCTTATAAAAATGGTCTCCTATGCTTCAGTTCTTCATTTGCAAAACAGGGATACTAGTATTCTCTACCTCAGAAGGGTAATGTCAGAACAATTCCATCTAAGATTGTAAGAAGTTCATATTATGTTAATAAGAAACTATGTAAGTACCTTAGATAAACTTTCTTTTTCTGTTTTGCGGTAATTGCTTCACTAGAATCGGTTAAAAGGGTTTTGTCTAAACAGTTTTCCATTAGAAATTTCATTTCAATTAATTTATTTTCATGCAATACTCTATGTAGATTTTGGGCAGGGGGGAGGGAGGTTGGAGGGAGCAGATTTGTAATGTTTTTAGATCTTGCTTCCAAATAGTTCTTTTTGAGAAAAACAATGAAATGATTCAAGGATAATTTTTGTTTCAGAATGTATTCCTGTTAGGCACCTTTTAATTGTATTTTTACTTTCATGAGATTAATTAAAAATGTCAGTAATGTCAATAATTATAAAAATGATTACTATACCATATTTACTTGAATCTAAGATGACCCTAAATATAAGCTGACTCCCCAGTACTTAGATTCTATATATGCAAAATTTATAAATTTGTTCTAATTTTCTTGGTAAAGAATCTAATTACTGAAGGCTTGCATTTAATGTGTCCCTCTTCCACTGCTACAGTAGGGGGAAAAATTGCGGGGGGGAGGGCAGGTAGCCTCTTTGTCCTCTGGCCCCTCCCCAACTTCTTTTTGCCACAGCCCCTTCCCTTCCCCCTACAATCAGACATTGCTCTGCCTGAGCATAGGAAAGTTAGAGGTAGATCGAAAAACAATGACCTTAAAATAAACATCTTTGTTTTGCATATAGGAAAATTACTATGGATACCTATAGACTTAGTTTATCCAGAATTGATGCATTTCACCTTGTTGGGAAGCTGCTGTACGTTTTAGCACAGGTACTCCATAAACAACTTTTAAGCAGCACTTTTGTACCTACTTTATATATAATACAAACTGTGCATAGTATTAGTCCAAAGCCAAAAGATTTATGATTTATCATATAGTTCATTGGGCTGGGCCCCAGCAATCCACAGTATTTCAAGCCCTGGTGACCCCACAGTTCACTACTGCTCAGTGTGTGTGTGTGTACTCCTGATATCCCCCCTCCGCAAAGATTCCATGCGCTCGTTATCTCCCTGCTAATGACTGGAATAATAGAATCATAGAGAATTACGGTTGAAAGGGACCTCAGAAGGTCATCTAGTCCAAACCCGTGCTCAAAGCAGGATCATCACCAACTGGAACCAGGTATTCTTGTCCTAAGTCCTGGGATGCTCCAACAATTTATATGCAGATGAGATCCTGGGCTACCTAGTTCAACTCCACCTCATGGAGGGCGAGGTCACCCTAATCATATGCAACAGGCTGAAAGAGAGTGTGACAGAGGGATTATGGGTGAACTGTTTGGGGCCCCATTTCATGATGTTCTCTAGGCACTAGAGTCTAGTGAAGAAACAGGGATAATTGAAAACAGGCAGGGGCAGTGCCAGCCTCTTCCCAGTGTGGGTGCTGAGGTAGGCTACACAGAAAATTGGGAGAGCTACGCTATACATCTTCTGGTCAAACATATTTTTTTAACAATACCCACTTAAACATGTGTTTTATCTATGTTATCTGCAAAAGGAGATTTTGGGGTGGCTATAGCTACCCAAAACCTCCCTAGCACTGTTCCTGGAAATGGGAAAGAAAAGCACAGCTCATCTGTGCGAGTGAAGAGGAAATTGAAATGTATGCAGTGTAGTGGCTCACCATGACTTGAAAAAATCACCATGCATACTAAGGAGGACTGTGTGTAATGAGAGTTACCATATATGTTATTCAGACAGGCTGCACTAATCTATCCTTGTGGTCGGATCCTATCAGAGGCATAGCTTCTCGGCCACTCCTTGGCTAAGATTAATTGTAGTGGCTGGGTAGAGGCCCAGTTTTACTGACTTGATCAATGCCAGGAGCAACAAGGGGATAATGACAGAACGCTGGGATGCAGGAGCCCAGAACAGCACCAGCAGTGGTTTTAGAGTGGCAGTTAAGGAAGGGAAAATGGTGTAAGAAATGTGAAGTGAATCAGAGAGTGGAAGTAGAGATCAAGAGTCTGATGGAGGATGGATAAAGGTAGGGAACAGGGAACAAAAGAAGATAGGAAAGAAATGTTTGGTGAGATTGGAGGCTTTACTGAAGGAAGTAATGAGGGAAGAGTCCAGTCAGCAGGAGGAACAGGAGAAAAGGGGAACAGGGGGTCAGGAGAGAGAAATAAGGAAGGAAACAGTGTTTGAAGAGAAGAAGAAAACTAGTGGGAGGAATAAACCAGACCCACAAAGAGAAAGGACATGGGAAGAAGCAAGAGACTGAGTGGCAGGTAATTTATGCCTGAGAATAAGAGCAATGAATAGATATGAATTTATAGAGAAAATATTGTTTGACCTTTTAGATGTTAAAGTGGAACATTTGAATAGTCTTGTCACCTTTCCTGACTGGAAGTCTTGGGAATTTTTGTGATGGAGAAGGTTATGGAAGGCATGTAGTAATAGGTGAGAAAGAAGAACTTAAAGAGATAAGATCTATTGCAGGAGAAAAAGATGAGAGAAAGGGCAATAATTATTCAAATGTACATGGATGTGGTAGAGATGGGGAGATAGAAAAATGGTTGGAGAATTATGTAGAAAAAGTGATGTATGTTGAGAAGATATATGATAAATATGGTATATGGACAGGATTATGGAGAGCACAAGTGGTAATGAGGATGGATTAGAGGAGTTCCAGCGGGATAATGCACTTAACATCAGTAATCCAAGTAGGACCACACTGGGGGTTTACAGTGTATTTCAGACAGCCTAAACTCTTTGGCAAGTGTGAGCAGGAAGGCCCTCTGGCCACAGCTGGTATACAGTATGCTACAGATGTGAAGAAAAAGGGCACATAGTGGCAGAATGATAAGAAGTACTAAAGTGTCATATTTTGGGGGCAGAGGGACACTTAAAGTGGCAATGTCCCTGGTCCTTCTCAAATAAAGCTAGAGGATCTGGTGCCTGATGTCTGGCTTCTCTTCCCCTTCCCCTTCCTCCTCTTGCTCCCAGCAGACATCCTGCAAACTGCCTGCCCTGTTTGCTGCCCCTGTTTTCTGTCATATTCAGTGTTAGCTACATTTAATAAATTTAATAGTTGGTTTCCATTACTGAGCACATGGTGGTTTTGGCAGCAGTGTCATGATAGACAATGTATTTAATGAGGTTTCCTTGTATACAAATATAAAACAAGGGGTTTTTACCACTGTGCTGATTGGAGGGAAAATTCCATATTGTACTGAGCAAATATGGTGAATATAAATAATGTCATATAAGCAGCAGTAGCATGTCAAGTCATGACAAAATAGCATGTGAAATAACTTACTATTTTATTTTAAAAATCATTAAGGACCTACTACTGATTAAAATATCCTATTTTCTTTTTCTGTTGATGTGTTTGCCATTTGCATTCTAATGAAACATTCTGACCCTTGCAAGAAGACAGACTGTAAAAAGGTGGCTACCATTTGTCTAGGACTTGAGGGGCTGCTTCCTTTTTTTCACATTTTCTTTTATCCTTTGTCCTACTTTTTATTTTTTAAAACATTTCATCCAGCTTGGCAATCTTAGAAAGTTCTGAAAGGAGAGCCTGTGGGTCAGACCACTCTCCTAGGAGATGGGAGTGTGAATCCAGTTAGGCTGAGGAAGGCCTACAGCCTAGGTCATGTACTTCCTGGATGAGGGCTTTAACCACCAGGTTATGAAAGGTGAGCAGTTCTCTTCCAGGTGTGTATTTGAATACAGGGCACTTACAAAGTATGGGTCATTTGTCACATGACCCGCCTCTTGAAAGTGCTCTACAGCCATGACCTAACAGAAGTGCAGAGCATTTTTAAAGTGCCTGATCATGTGACAAAGTAACCCTCATTACATGAGGGTTTGGATGAAGGCACTCCAAAGTGGAACACCTTCATTAACTTCTGTCTGATTTGGACTGGGCTGATGCATCCCAGCCCCACTCCTGGTGCTGGCTGCATGGCGGGAGTGGGGGAAGGAAGGGGATGTAACTCTGTGCTGGGGTTTGCCCAGCCTGTACTGGAGGGGAATGGGTGGCTTGACGCCCCCTCGAGGTAGGTAAGAAGAATCCAATGAAGCATCTAACATGGAAATGTGATAATATAGCAAGTAAAGAAAACATGTGAAAAGTATCCACAAATGAAAATAGGGCTTTTCCCTCTAATGTCTATCAACTTCTAATAAGTCTCTATCGCTTCGTATATATTTTGGTTCTTGCTGAGGTG